TTTATTAATTAGATAACGAGCAGGAAAGATTAGTAATACGAGTGTTGAGGCGCGGTGTAAGTAGACGATGATATCTATGAAAAGCATCCGTACAAGACATGTACAGTAATCTAAATAATTACATTGGTAACAGTACTTGTGTGATTCCGTGCAACTTATCTTTTACCCATTTTTAAGACTCATTGAAAAAAAAAATTACATTTAACTTGACAGGGAATACAGAAACATCAGAGGCAAAATGTAACTTTCGACACAACTGGCGTTCCGAATTATTTGGTCATCTCTAATTCACTTTTTATTGTTATATATTTTTTAAAATCTATTTATATCTTTAAAAAAATAAATGTTATGATGGGTCGGGGGCTTTTACTAGAATAAAAAAAAACCTACTGATGATCAGCAACTATTTCAAATGCTGGTATCGTCAGAGATAGACCAATGAGGGATGGTTATACAGGGTAAAGAAACCTTTTCGCATGCTCTTATATCATACGTCAAGTTCCTCATCATGTAATAAATTAAGGAACATGAACTTCTAAATGTCTGTTAATGATTTACGATAAAGATTAGCATTTCCAACCTGTTAATCTTTGGAATCTCTTCATGTTAAACGCACTTACTGTAGCATAACATGAGACAAGGCACATGTATAGCTAGACGATCGACCTTCAACCATACCCTTCCTCTGTATCCCCCTCACATCATCCCTCAAAGACATGCTTACCCCGTACTTCCTCGCCTCAAACGGTGCTCTCCAAAAGATTGACGCGACAATAATGAGGAAAAGGCGTTATCAAGAACTTGGAGAATGACGATGCAGTTCCACTGATTAGCGACGATCTCGCGCTTGCTCTCAAGATTGATTAATGGAGAAGATTTTCTTCGTAAGAAAAGTCCGTAGTGACACTCGGGTTATGTATCTTTGATAAAATTACCCTACGAAGTGTTTGCTATATCAAATACCACACTGTAATTTGACAGGTGGTGGGTTAATCTCTCTCACATCTCAACAAAGCTGCAAATTAAATTATAGAAAATGATTTTACGCACTTCATGACAGATAATTTTTTATTTTAATTGTAGGCTTATACACTGTAATTAAATTTTAGAATGTAATGGTGATGCTTCCTATTTCACATAATGTCCTTACCATACAATCAATATCCGATTTTTACAGTAGGTTAGGAGTTTATAATAGATCACCAACGGATCATTACTATTCGTTTTGAAAGAATCGGGTGACCATTTAGATATATCTGACATTGGTCAAGCTCAAAGTCAACTACTTAAGATGTCAGATTTTTTAGTTTAGTAAGTATAGTAATGAGGGTTTAAAAGGATCTCTATGTTATGAAAAGTTGTGAAAATCTATATTGAACTGTCAATCTTAATTCATTAGTACAGCGTTATGACTTGTTTTGACATGTGCTATATGAGAATAAGGGGAATATTTTCGTTCATTGTTATTTTCTCTTTGTTGCCAGTCGTGAGTGAGTTATTCCAAATTAATATCAGTCACCATGTATTAGTGTATAGCTATGGTCTGCATCCAAGGGAGGTTCACGCTTTAAATAATCTCCTATACGTAAATGTATCTCATATTTTTCATGATTTTCTATTTTCAAATTTAAAACAAAATATGATGGATAAAACAATATTAGGAGAACAAATTAAAGCATATAATAAATGCTGTCATCGAATGATATGACGTCAAAACTCAACTCATGTTCCACGTTTTTATAGAATATTCCTTGCCTCAAGGATGAGGTACATGTTGTGAAGAGAAAGAACAACTTCCGAACTTGTCGAAACTTTGATTTGGATGATTTTGAGCGGAAGATTTCAATCAAGATTACTTCTGCAAGCATTAAAGCATCTCTCTCTATCTGGCTGATGTACTTATCTCGGGATATCTTTATAACAATCAAAGATTTAAAAATAGCGATCATGAATGATTCACAGGCAGGCAAGGAGACTTCAGGACCCAATACCAATTGGATAGTCAGAGAGGGAAACACATATATATTGGACCAATTTGTTACCCCCACAGTTTGTTAGTTATACTTTCCCGTCAGGAATATAAAGGTCCCTATCAATCGTATTCTGCTCGCAACTATATTTGGTCATGATTACTCCTGAGTTAATATCTATAACTTTAACCATAACCTATATTGTGGAGATTCCCAACTACTGTTCGTTACAAAAACCTTCTCAATTCTTTTATGCCGTAATAATATAAACGATAAATGGATTAAAGAGGACCTTTCCCCAAAGTTACAAAGTGCTGAATACCAGTATTAAATGCCTTTGGACATAACTCTTTAATCATACTGATAAAATGTGTGAGGCAGTCATCATGACGCATACTAATTCCTCTTGGATCGAGAGTGGCAGATATGGATTAATGTCTTGTCAAAATATCGCGAAAGATATCCGAACCCAGTTAGATGGCTCATCCAACCATGCATTGATCGCTTATACTTCCATGTTCCAACGGACCACGTGTGTCCGTTTCATTGTTTAAAAAAATGTTGTTATAGTTTATATTATAAAATAACGAATACAGATCAATACAAAATTTCTTCAATGAATGAAATAGTTAAAACGACATATATCTTTTAAAAATACATTTATTTTGATCTTATACAGGAAATGAACAGCCCTGTCAAAGTTTAATATGAATCTTGTTTAATATGAATCCCCAAACGTGTTCGTAAATAGAGTCAATCAACTTCATTTATTTGCTGTCGTTTTCCTTCATACATTTCCCATGGTAGAAAAGGGAACCCAAGTTCACAAATCTAGTCCAACTATCAGGCTTATTGAGTGCTAAGAGGGGCGTCACCCCCGCTTGTTTCCTGTTCTCCCCTTACTATGTCAAATGCATTAAGATACCGTGTATAACGTTTCGCATTCTCTACTGACACTACACGCAATGGGTGGTGCTACTCGGAAAATAAAGTATAGTTATTAGTAATTTCTGTGAAGGTGGCATCTTTTTAAATAATATTGACATGTCTATACCTATTATTTCGTCTGTTTCTCAAAATGTCTTCCATTTTTCTATTTCGAAATTTGAAATCCTTTTTTTTTAATTTAAGAGAAAGGAAAATAAATATAATAATAATAATAATTATTATATAAACAAATACTACTACTACTACTACTACTACTACTACTGCTGCTACTACTACTACTACTGCTACTACTACTACTACTGCTACTACTACTACTACTGCTACTATGATGATGATAATAATAGTAATAATCAAAATACTAATAATGATAATGATAATAATAAGAATACAAAAGATAATAATAAGAATAAGAATAACAAATTTACTCGAAAATATTAGAATATGCAACTTACCAAAATCTTGAAGGAGGTTAAAGCGATTATACAGAGTATTCCTGTAGGGTCAGCAATAGCAAAATATACATAGTATAGAAATTACAACGTTTCTGCTTCGTGTGTTTAATAATCTTATTATATTAAAGATGGCATATATCGTCGCTGTTTTCACGAAGTGACGGTAGTGAAAAAAAAATTGCATTCACTTTGCGTTACGATTTTCCTCACTACCGTCACTTCGTGAAAACAAGGACGATATACTATATCGTGTTGGTTATAATTGGCGCTAGATTTTCACGTTATATTGTCATCATAGGCATTTAAACTCACAACAAATCTATCAAGTGTGATCTTTCGAATGATTCAGTATATACAACTTATCATGTAGGTTACTTAAACACATAACACCATATCCTAATTATCCTTCGCCTCAATACTTAATGCCAATTCTCTCATTTCATATCCGATAATGTAACCCAGGCTAACTACTTCACAGACAGATAACCAGACTAACTCAAACTGTTAATGAAGTGTAGACATGTATTACCCATACGTCACTGACGGGAAAAAACCCACAAGTTCTCTTCCGCTTCATGGAACCTAATAATCGATGTTAATTTATAGGAAACGCCCCTACAACTTTCCATGTTTCCGCGAAAACCATAAATTAATATCTACGTGAGGAATCTGTATTACACGTAAACCTGTCTGGGAGTAGAATTACTACTTGTCTAGACCGAGCGTTAGAGATGAAAGGGAAGGATCGTTTTCGGTCTAACGATGCAGTGGTCGTAATATCAATAATTGTAGTAGTAGTAGTAAAGTAGCATCAGCAGCAACAACAATAGTAATAGACATTATAGTAGTTTAATTCAGTAGTCATTAGTCCTAAAACTAGTTAAGTATAATTATAAAAAGATGGTAATGGTTAGTTATTTTTCATTTTACATTAAATAGGGCTTCCATGATGCCTCAGGTGTTTACTAAATTTATAAAATATTAGATCAAATATATACATGTTAATTAGCCTCTTTGTCGAATACTGGATACAAATATGTGTTTCTCAAAAGGAAAGTGCAGATCGGATATTACCAGCATGACCAGTTCTGATAATGGCGCAAAAATAGGAGCTTTTTGAAGTAAAGTTTGAAATATAACTAGAATTTCCTTATTCCATGTGACTTTTAGTTTGATAACATCACTTAACGCCACACTGTACTACTTGTAGCTACTTTCTCCCTCTATCTAGAGAACAATGCCTAATCGGTGACCATTGGTCCCCCATGATCCTCTTTTTCTTATGTTAATTGAGAGCTGAGTTATGAGATAACCACCTGTCCAGTGACCTTGCAGGGTGGTCTAATCCCTCCTATAAACAAGTACAGATGAGCTTTAAAATATACATGTCGTTTTTCTTTCTTCATATAAAGTTTCACGTAGGCGCGATATCAATAGCTTTTGAGCTAGGCTGGGGTGGGAAGGAGAAATAACTTTTTGCCTAACTCTGCCACACAGGTGAATTTACTCTTTAAGACCGCCCTCTGGTTGCTTGGTGAAGCAATAGCGGTCTGTGATTGGGTTTTAGTCTGTATGACTGACAGTGGAGCCTGTGGACTCTTGCGGATTGCATATAAGCACCGTTACACATCTACAGTGCAGTGAAGAGTGGGGTTCAGTGTAAATTTTACAAGCACGCGCGCAGAGTGATTATCACTAAGCTCAAAGAAGAGAGATCGGGAGCTTATGAGGTTCCTAAGAAATCATATATTATTACAAGGAAATAGTATATCGATTAATATTCTAGAGTGACAGCGTGATGAGCCTACCTACCCAGCGTGGGGTTCGGATTTCTACACTTTATACTGGGATCTTATTCTTTGACTAGTTGGAATAACTCGCTGTGTTGATTAATGAGGAAGGTCTAAGAGAGAACAATATTCGTGTTGGTGCACTCAAACTGAGAACCCTCGGATCTTAACTTATTCTCTTCAATTCGCGAATAAAGCGGGTATGTTTTACCAGCAAATTCATTTTACTGCATGCTTCCTCTATTTTTAAGCATTCATTGAACTTGTTTGAGGACAATAGTAGCCATTTTGCTACGGTATATTATCTTGAGATTCTTGCGAAGATGCCGGAGTTGCTCTTTGATGAGATGACAGATGAGAGACATGATATGAGATAGAGAAAATGCTGAATCGCCTAAAGAGAGTGACACGTTCCCAACGGTGCAGTCAACTAAGATGAAATCTAGAACCGTTCATATATTATATTATATGCTTTTCAAAATATTCATAGCTCGATAATTGCCTAATATTTGTTTTTTTTTTACTATTTTTCATTTATCTCTTTTCGCCATTTGGCTCCCAGATTGGAAGGAAATTGCACCGTTTCTAAAGCTTGGCCCCTTAATTGGGCGAATACACGCAAAGGATAACCATGGAGAAAATACGGTGTTTTTCGTGCTTCGTACTCTTCATAGCGACTCTATTACCTGCAATAATTGGTAAGTCATTTCAAACTTGTTTAGAAAGTTGAATGCATGTCATTGTCACAGATGGTGTAATTCATATTTCGACTCCGTGTTCATCGTTGTTCACAATTCCATTGCGATTTTAATTCATTGTAAATATGTTATTTCTCTGGATTTTAAACTACAATCAGTCCAGTTGAACTTTTGGTAACATTCTAATCCTTAATAATACGCCTCATAAGTTACAAATAGCCTTGCTTGATTTTAATAATCACATTCCTTATACATTGTTATCTATGCAAACCACGTCATACTCAAGTTCACAGTCTTGCGGTTCGTTTACTGTGAAGCTAATGTAGCGAAACTCATCGATATACATACATTCTTCGGTTTGGGTTGAATGTTCTCACAACAGCAATGTCACACCAGAAAGATGAGCACACATAATATAGGCACCTGTAATTGTTCGAGTGGTATATTATCGAAGGTTAAGAGAGTGGTAGAAAATAACACTTCATCCAAGGGCAGCTTTTATTATGCCGATTTAAAGAAAAGAACATTCAGTCACGCTCCCATTGTCATCATTTCAAATGGTTTCTGGTTGACTCGATACCAAGTTTAATCGGAGATTCAATATTGACAGAACTTTTCATAATGCGTGCCTTTCGGCTTTAGAACCCTTTTCATCTATTATGAAACGTACAATCGGTGAGTCAATAATCATAGATAGATCTTACTAAAATGATCGCGGTAGGTTTTGTTTGTAGAAATAATAATTTTGTATTAGAATTTAGAACCTGAGTAAATCTAACAAGTAAGACTCAAAGGTACACAAACTTTATACGAATATGAAACTTTACCTTACTTAAAGGTGGAAAATTCCTTTAGATCTGTTCCAATTTCACGAGTTGTTACCAAAGTTAGTAATGGGGAAGTTCTTACACGAGCTGGAGTGCAAAGGAAAATGATACGTGATATGTTGATTAGGCAGTTGAAGTTCATGGGTCACATTATACGTAAAGAAGGTCTAGAGAATCTTGCTTTGAAAGGGAAAATTGTGGAAGAAGGAGTAGGGGAAGAAGGAGGATACTTTGGTTGGACAGTCTGCAGAAATTGTTGGAAGAGAGAGGAGTGAAAGAACTGGGAGTGGTACTAATACAGAAGGCTATAGGAGCCGAGGGTTGTGGAACAGCATGATCGCCAAAGTCAAACGATATGGCACTTAGAAAGAGAGAGTTACCAAAGAGATAATATAGGTTTGCACTGGACAATGATTTCATATTTCATAGGATCAATCAGAAAATCAGTGAATCAACGAAAAAATGATCGCGCTCTCCGTTTAATAAAGCAATCATTGAAAAAAAATCTGCGACTATATTTTATGTTTATATATATATATATATATATATGAGCAAGTATTAAGACACGTAAATGAATAAAATTTGTAGTCGATTTTTAGACCAAAACCGCAGTCAAGTTTGCTGAAATTTCCAACAAGCAAATTCCAAATAACTATGTGGTTTCAGATGTGCCAACAAAGCCAGAAAATGTTCGTAGACTATACAATTTTCTAGACAGATTTGATTTTGAAAGAAGAAAAATAAAAAAGAAAGAAGGGAAAAAAGGAACAACAAGGTAATCAATTCTTCAATAGTAAGGTGAAGAAAATTGTAGATCGAAAAGCTAAATAATTTTATCATTCAGGTTTAAGGCTGCATAAGAAATAAATCGTTTCTGATTACACCCCACGATATGGCTTACTTAACTGAAGAAAAAAAATCGATAGTAAGAAATGTGTTTTGATTTACGCAAAAATGTTATTAAGTTAAAAAAAAAAAAAAAAAAATGTAATAATCTTTGTAGCAGCCGTGAGAAATTGATATGAAATGATGTGGTATTATTATGAGTTAATATGTCAAGGATACTTCTCCGTCTGTTTAATTTGTATAGTACCATTTCGGATCAATCTTTTGTGTTGTGTGTGTGTGAGCAAACCAGATAACAATCGCGTGTAACGCCGACGACGGCGACTTTGAGACTTTGTTCAAAATATCTTTTCGATTAAGCGAATTACTAACAAACAACTGTGTATTGGGCAGATAAAAGCAGTTGTAAACGTGTTGAAGGGACCCAAGAGGCTAGGGACTTGGTTTGGTTGATTATGACAGGTGCAAGATTGATCTTAATTGAGAGGTTTATTCCGAGTTAACAAACAATGTATCTCGAAAAAAAACTCTCTGTTAGACCAGATCGATTCAAGAATTACCTCAAAATTACATCATTTTGTTCAATTCATTTTGAAAAGAAAAAAAATGGCGCGTTCTTTAGGAAAAATCTATAGAATATTTAAACTATTACAATTTAATGTCAGCGTCTTGTTCACTTTCTTTCATCATTTATGAAACAGAAAAAGTATGAAGTATCCCTGATAATGGAACGTAGTGCACGTTTTGTAAATGAAAGCGAATTGAAGCCACAATAGAATAATTTCTGCGTGATCATACCATTCAAAAGAATAAGAAATGGAAATTCTTTTAAACCTCGGGATTTATTCAAAGCTGAATCGACGGAGTGAGAGAAATCGGTTTTTAAGATATACAAACTGTGTGCCTCATACCGATGCATTACGTCTTGTCACAGGTGACGACGTAAGTCTGAACACTTTTAATTTTATCGGACGGTCATCCATGAGCTTGCAAAAAATCAAGGATATTTTTAGAATAATTCCTAATAAATGTGTGCCGAATGAATACAAATCTAAACAAGATTTTCTTTCATCTTAACTTTAATCTGCGCTCATAGGTCTGGCATGATCTAATATTCAAAGCTCAAAAAGTAAATGGAAATCACAAGTTTCTTCGTAAGTGAAAAAAACATTACTTCACTTTTGTTTGTTATGCTCCTATTGTTTCTCATTTAATGAACATGACTATAAATTACTTCACTCTAATAGTTAGAGAAATTAAAAAATACAAATCCTAGGCATACGGGCGCACTTTTGCCGGGGCAGCTAGAGGGGATGGGGATGGGTGGGAGCTAGGCAACGGTTCTTGCCCAAATATCAGTTGTCTGGTTTCTAAATTTTACAAGCGAAGTAAGCAAGTGATAAAATAAAGTTATTCGCATTGTTTAATATCGTGACGATGAAGCATTGATACAAAAAACTTCAAATATTACCAAATTAATAGACAACATCGCAGCCCGAATATGATTGCCGGAATGGGAGGTGTCAGTTGCCATAATTGAACTGTTCGTTAATTTTGAAGTACCCGTGGATGATGTAGAAAGAGGAGACTTCGATATGATTAATTTTCACGATTTCAATCAAATTTTTGAAGGTCTATAACATTTCATATTGATCTGAAGAATACTACATGTGTACGGTGCCATTCCGACATCATGAATTCACCAAATGAAGTAATAATAACGTCCTATCTCCGTCTCTCGGCACAAGGTCTGCGAATAGTCATCCTGTGCCGTCTTAATTGCATAAGATTGTGTTTTCATTGTTATATTGTACGTATTATCAATTTTAACACTTTTCCGTTGATGGTGTGTATTCATTTTTGTATGTTTTTTAAAGATATAAAATGACATACATAATTATAGTTGATTTTTACTAAGATTCTTAAATTCTTAGTGCTACAAGCAATGAATAACCCGCAAGCATTTCTCATGACAAAAGAAATAATAACAAGATCAGATTGAGTACGTTAGAAAATTTGATATTTGGAGAGCATGGGAGTATTTGATTTTCTTTAACAGACCCTTTCCGATACCGAGTGGCTTTCCAAGCTAATTCTCAGAAGCTTGTCCTGGTATTTGCAAATAACCAATTGAATGGAAGCCTAGTAACTTCCATGCGAAAAGGTATAAAGGTATGACGTGATAGGGAATTCATTTGAAGGATAAAAGAGAAGTAACGTGGGGTGAACAAAAATTCAACAATTAGGTTGAGTATTTTTTGAAAGATATCTTTTCTTCATTGTCTTGAATTATTTGTTTGGTTTCGGAGAAAAGTGTACGTAGATGTGTTTAACTTGAAGTTAACGTCTTATCGAAGAAATGCTGTATTTGTGTCTTAGCCAAACTATAATGACTATCATGATACTGGCAAAAAACTAATTTGCCTGTGTCATAACACCGTTGATATCTATCCAGGTAAATGATGCTTTCAAGTTTTGGATGCCCCAAAGATGAGACAGGTGCAGTGTCTTGAATTTATACTGTCCTATCGGTTTGTAAATCAAGAAATTTGTAAAGTTTCGGAAGATGACTACACATATATTATCATGAAATGCCGCCTTGTTTGGTATACCTTTAATGCGATCAGTTTGTCATAGTGGTGCTATTGAGGGAACTGAACAGTCCTGTCTTTCCAGACATATTGCACAGTGTAATATACTTCCCTTCAGGAAACTATGAAACCACTTGACTTTGTGATAAGTGTCATCATTAATCATGATAATGATATTGAGCAACATAACACTCTCCGTATCGCCTTCAATTTGTTGATGCGGGTTTGTTATTTCAAACATATGAAACAAACGATGAATATCCATTCTTTATGTTTGAAAGTCGTCATAATTGTAATGTAGAGAGATACTTATATACATTAAAAGGTGTATGACACTCATGGTATAGTTCTTGCTCTTAATCGTGAGGTTGCGATTCAACCCCCAACCCGAAGCCTATAGACCACAAGTCATTCTAGCTATTAAAAAAAAAGCCAGGGCTTAAACCGTCCTATTGTAACAAATGTGTATCTGGTAGGGAGATATTCCTGGAATGATTGGAGTATTGATTGCTGCCCACCAAAGGCCAGATCAATTATGTAGGAAAATTCTTATTCGACCACACAGAGACAGACATTTTTTCATCATCGCTATTTTTTGGCTTCGGCAAAAGAGGCCAAACAAAATGTTATGCTGTATTGAAATACAATGCATTATACCCGTCTTGATCAACGTACGATACAGACTACTAAACATCTTACTTCATTCATCCATAGTTTTATTTTTTCATTGCGTTGTAAAACATTTTTAGTGTGATTGCGTTGCTGTGCTTTTTTCACTCTCGGACTAAAGAAACTATTTTTTCTTTTGTTGTTCTTAGTGAGACTAATAACCTCTCTCATTGTAAAGTGCATATTCAGTGTGGTCTTTCGTGCTTGAAAAGGATGAAAAGGCAAATGGTGTAATCTACTCAGATAGTCAAAGAAGTGAAAGAAGATCGGATAATACCATAGATTTGCTCATCTCTTATACCACACGCATACAATAATTGAGTTAATTTTAGGACAATTAATTGCATAACGTAAAAGAGAATAAGGTCATACAATAGCGTTGTTCTGAATGGATTATATAATTGATCCCTTGTGGATAGTTTGACATCACCACAATGATGGCACCTATCGACTTGGTATCTACATGTAGAGATAGACCATTCTAGACAGCGGTGGACTACTAAAGACTCGGCTATCCGAGACAGGACCTTAACAAGGTGTCACTGGCTAGAAGTCCACAACACCCTCCCACACACTACCATTGCAAATCAGGCAGGCATAAAATTGGGCATCGTTCGGTCTCCTTTCAGGCGCGGCTTGTTTGTAAAAGTGCCTGACATCGTCCATTCGGTTGGGGTCTTTTAGATGAGGAAAAAAGTTTGCATCAAGCATCATTGTTATCATAACAATACACACGCATAAGGTTCCAAAGTCGATGACTTGCTGAATGGTATGGCTTGCATGCCTTATTGTGGCATACAGGAGAAAAGCGTTTCAGAGAACAGTCAACAAAACAGACATCTGAAGATTAATTGGAAGGCATGCTGCGAACCCATTTATATCAGAAAGAAAATCTTGTTAGTATGAAGAAAGGGAAAGGGATTAAGAAATGCGTGACCATGCTAGCGAGTGCATTCATTTAATCTCATATCGCCCCAGGGGTTATTATGACATCTAAAAACCTAAAATAAACTAATGAAATCATATATTGATCCAATAAATAATTGTGTCATAAATTGTAAACATCAAATTCAAAGGATATGTCCACAAGAGTAATATGTCAGGGGAATAAATCATTGCTAGATACATTTTGTTGTCTATATTTTATTTCAATAAATAACTCACAATATAAAAATAATTAGTTTACTTCAGATGACGAACAAGACCCCCCCCCCTCCCTAAAAAAGGGAGAAACATGAAATCTCCTTTATATACATATATATATACATGTCTATATATGTACATACACGATTGGTATTGTAATTAAGTTAACCAATTGCATTTGATGAGCCCCCGCCGCGTCGGTTTCAGTTTTAGTAACTGTAGTACACAGAAAAAATATATTATAATTATATTCTCTGGTCTTGCTGAAATGATCTTGATATAATGTAAATATTTTGCAAAGACTTGATGTCGAGTAAACTGCCTTTTGGAAAATTCCGTTATGTTCAAGAATCCCACTCTTTATTACTTTGTTTCTTCTGATTGGACTCCTTGCCATAGTTCTGAAAATGCGTATGAGATTGTGTTTAAGTATAGAAAATAGGGCCTGGTCACACGAACAGAGCTGACAGGTCCCTTTCAGTTACAAGCCGTTCAGCTATCGGTAACATAATGGTATGCATGTGTCCCAGGTGTTGGAGTTGATCAAGTTACTGGAGAGTGATTCAGTTATCCTACCATGTCTAATTAGTTATCCATTCTATATCAATCAGTAAGATAGATCTTATTATTACCATCACCAGTGCGTAACATGCATGGTGCCCCGCTAGGCTGCTTTAACGTTTACCCTGGAATCGCTAAAGGAATACAGTTATGATAGCAGTTCTGCGAAGATCATTGGTAGTCTCATGAAGCCCCTAGCGTGTCTCGGACTCGCTGAACACTACAATCCATGTCATACATAAACACCCATCTTCTTGGAATTGATTTCGAGTCCGTTTGTCAGTCATCATTGCATTCAGTAAATACTAACTATGCTAATACCTCAATAAATTAAATTACCTGGGATAGCCAAGAATCGGTCAGTGTGGCGTCGGTTTAGGTGTGAGGGGCTAACCAAAGTTAATCGAGGGATTCAGGACACTGATACTGATAATAGAAATAAAAGTCATGATTTCATCTTAGTGATGATAATCATGATAATTTTAACAACCTAAGATAATGATGAATATAACGATAATAATTAAGTAACCATAGTAACAATTTCAATGATAAAATAGTAACAGTTAAAGTCATACAGCAAATTTACTGCACAAAGGAACTTATTCTTTCAAGATAATTATATTTCCCTCAACGATTGAGTCTCACTTAGCCCAATGTAAGTTTTTGAGTGTACCTGGGAAGTTCGTGTCAATGAATAATCGAAACCGAACCGTGTATTTGAATTAATTGTAATGAATTGGCTCCGAGAAATATCTATAATACACAACACAACTACTTACAGTCAGCAACATGAGTATCATAAGAGGGCAATAAACTGTGATCGTATACCCGTATTTATATCAGGAGCATGATGAGGAGGACCCGTGTTTTAATAAAAGTTAACATGTACCACAAACACGCAAGGTATTTTGGGTCGTGATTGGGTATATTGGTCTTATTGTACAGTATAATGTCGGAAAGAATAGGATGTAATATAATCATATATGAATTAAAAACGAAAATATACGTGTTTTTAAAAAATTGAGCATATTGCGACAATCTACAATCAGGAAAGAACAGTGGATTTAGGATTTATAACAAATGCAGCTTCAAATCTGATCGCAAAACGATATCGATCTCCTTGAGTGGAAGCAAAGGGTTGGTGAAACAGAGAGTTAAAAAAATGCACCTCAAGAACAAAGAAAAGAACTGATTTTGCATTTGTTTTCATTTTAAAGAGCTAATGATTATAATATTATGAGTAATCTTGTGACATGTGAGAAATGAATTATGCTTAATATTGAATTTCTTTCTCTTTGCTTGCAGCACAATCGTCGTACGTTGAATTCAATGTCCTTCAAGACGTGGGTATCTCTGCTGCATCACCCGGGGTAGATCTTGTAAGAGGACAAGAAGAGAACTCGGTAGCTTATAAGATCAAACCTAACAAAGGTGACATGGCAGCTAATACTATCGACGTGCAACGTCTCGGAGATGCTATGAACGATGAAGATGGCTTCGTACTCGTCGCCAAAGTGAAGATGGGTCAGAAAGCTCGGGAACCGTAGTGTCCCTAGATGGTCATGGCCACACAGATAGACTCTTTGGCTTGGTGATTGACCGTAAGAGTGATAGTGTCTTGATGCCATACTCGTACAGAAGGGATGGTGTTACTACGCAAGATTCATTGGAGTTCTCAGGTCTGAATCTTGAAGATACAGAGGATAGAGACTGGCATACCTTCACGTTAGATATCCAAGGTAACTTGGCAATCCTGTATGCTGACTGTACCAGGGTTGGTCTTCAGATCATGTATGGAAGCTTTGTCTATGATGTCACACCTGATCAATATTCCCTCAGGCTTGGAAAAGGACTCAAGGGGCGAAAAGACGTGCCAGATTTTAAGGTAGGATATTAAACACTTACTTCCCTTAGGAAGACAGATATTACGGAGCTTATAATGCTTTCGAAAATTGTGAGAACCCCTATTTGGGCGTGTCAGGGCCCCTTTAAGATAACACCAGCGCCACCCTTTTAGAGATATTTTATTCAATATTATGACTGACTAGCATTGTATACTTATAGTCTGTAAAAAGTGTTACTTCCAGGGCATTTTGATGTGAAATGAAGTGCGACATATTGTATTCTTTTTATTCCTTGTTAAAAATGATACATCCAGTAAAATACACTGGTCGCTGTTTTATAAGGCCTTTTTGCAAATGTATTCAGATAAATATTATAAAATACACTTTGTCACGATTCGAAGAAAAAAAATCTCCAATGTCACGATCCGAAAGAAAACACATGTACTATATTTTCATTGGAAAAAATTGTCACACAGTCATATGGTATCTTTCAATATTCATTTCTAATCTTGATATCAAGTGAGTTAGACCTTATACACATAGTGAAATTAATATGATTTATCTTCAAGAACATTAATAACCTATTAGGTGTTGAGAACATTCATGCTAATGTTAAGGTGTATTCACTGCTACTGCTACTACTAGGTCCATGGTAAGTGAATGCATCATCACCAGGGTAGATGATACAATCTAGACACCCAGGAGTGCGAAACCAGGAGATTGAATTTCGAGCCGTCCTGTGCTTTACACCGTGCATGCGTGATGAAATTAAATACACGCTTTTCAATACATGGGACTATTGAGGGAAAATCGTTGTTTAATCTACCTACACTTGTCCAGCTTATGCGGAGGAATTAATCTTCAAAGAGCAACGTGTATGATATCATCTGGATAGTTTGAATAGCTAATAACTTCGTGGATTTACAAAGTTATCAGGTTTCTAAAATATTTTATTCTATACAGACTATCAATGGAAGCTAATCGTTTGTACTGTATGTTTAAAAAGATTTTTATTGATAAGTCTGATCTGAGGAATAGTTCTTTCTTTGAACAAGCGCAATTCAATATACTTGTATATGAACATCAAATAATCAAGGGGAAAAGAATTAGGTCAAACATTTGGCTCAGCTCGCGGCATAACTCTAACTCTGCACCTGTGAACAATTATTGATGGAATAAACAATTACATAAATATAATATAGTTAAGCCAAACCTTGGTCGGTGCCAAAGGAAATAGAAATTACACAAAGCTTGTCAAAAGAGGAAAAAGATAGGTAAATACTTGTAAACAGAAATGTCAGGTCGCTGACAATCTAAATTTTATTCTTGCTAATGAACATTACACACAGTATACTGGAGCAAGCAATGATTACTATTATATAAAATATCTATCTTTGTGAATTGATACCGGTGATGCGGTATATAAAACAAAAATTCTCCTCGGTGATCTCGAGACTGCACTGTGCCCCTCGACTCCTTCTCGTGGAACAGTACACTTTCGAGATCACCTTGGGCAATAGTTTGATCGTACCCCTCAAAGTATTCTATATTTGTGTATTATTCGTGTTTATCCGAATTTTGAAATCGAATTCAGATATCATTCAAGCAAAATATTTCACCAGCATGAAGCATGACGTTACAATTTTTTGGAAATGGAATTTGAGACAAATCTGAGTTGGTTCATTGTCCAACCTTACACCTAAGGGTTGACGGTTGATATCCTCTTGTATCGCTTTTCTATTCTTATGTTTGATATTGTGACTTTAAGGGATGAAATGACATAGAGATACAGACCAGTCTAGAACCACTAACATCTCCTGCTCTGTGAGGTTTTTGTTGCTTTTCAAGATGGCAAATATGTGCGATGAAGACATAAACCTTGAATGTTACCACTAAAAGAACATACATTAGGATTAAAGCACGTACATCTATCATTGTCAATAGACCATGTTAACCTTACCACCCCATAGGATTCTCATACTATAGTTTCACACCTCTAGTTGCTAGTTTGCCAACTATCTTGTTTTGTTAGGCCGTTCTTGTGTAGCACATCATCTGTCCTGACCCGGTCAGCTGATTGGCGGCAGGCATGGTGTGATTCTTTGATGTCTCACCGTGCATGGGCTTGTAGCATTTGGTAAATGTTACTGAAGAAATGGTGGCTTCATATCTATTTCATTACAGAAGAAAAAAGTGCTGGTCATAGGATTTATTTCATTATGATAAACATAATCTGTATGATAGCAAACAGAACACAGATACGTGAACAAAACAGCCTATATGAATGAGAGATTTAAAAGGATTGTATATATTAACAAATTAAATCAATTCAGATGGGAACTTAACATGAAGGCAGTGACAAAAAAAGACCCCTCCCCCAAAAAAAAAAATATAAATGAATAAAAAAGGAATAAAAGAAAGATGAATGATTAAACCCTGTAAACTGCATTTTATCGTCTGAATTATGTACGGTGAAATATTGGAAACTTATTTCAGGGTTATGAGTAATGTCTTGCCATGTTCTCCACAGTGTGCCCTTGAATATGGAACTAAAATCATTTTCAAATGGTATCACATGTTAACGTTCACCTGTCTCAGGTTTACCGAGGAGACACCTCTTGGGTTTACTAACTGCTTTGCTTCTCTCGGTTAAGTTTTGAAGATATCTAGAGTGATGAGATTCAAATCTTTCTCAGTCTACTGACGGTGGATGAGCGTAATAATTGGCATAGTGTGCTGACTTTTATTTAGGCGGACATTCTTTAATTCCATCTCTTATCAACTCAATGTTTGATTTTTTTTTTTAGATTTATCATTTGGACACAACGCAGTATAGATATCCAATCGTTAACATTATCATTCTAAAATGTGATCGTTCCTACGATTTGAGATTCATAATAATCATGTCAAAGTTAAGTTTGGTAGAACTTGCACGACACGTTTTTATTTTATTCAGATGCCGTTTTCCAGAAAGTTCCCTTTTTTCTTGGTGCCCCCCCCCCCCCCACTTTGGAAGTCGCTCGGCAAATCTACTGCGTGTTCGCTAAAGCTACATTTTATTTAAAAGAAAGATGGGAATGTCAGTATTTTAATCTGCTCCATTCGTTTTGCATTTAATCTGGCTAATCCTCCTGTCTACTTCTTGGTAAAATTATCTTTCATTAAAACAGATAGCCTGCAAAATAGATAATATACCATTCTCCTTAAGAATTTAGGAATCTGAACCTTTAGAGCGTAAGCTCTTGATTAGGTCTGCATGGCAGTGTAAAGAAGAGTTCGCTAGACGGGAACATACCAAGCCGTCAATCTTCTATCGTAGAAACATCATTATACCCTTATTGAGCTGAGGGAATGAAGATGTATTCGTTTTATGACTGATCTTTTACTAATGACGTCTAATTGCAGAAAAATTAAGATGATTAATCTTTCGATGAAAGACTTGTCGGATCATGAATGTGCAGTGAGTTTGAAGAAACGGCGAGTAAAAGGCTACGACTGCCGGAAACCAAGAAATTGGCAATCTCTAATCCAATGGTCCCCTAAGGAGGGTGTCTTTATGGACAGCCTTATTTAGTACCAGTTTGAAGAAAAAAGGTTTGTAGTCAGAGACTAAGGAAGAGATTAAGGATGAAATAAATCACCATATTAAAAAGTGTTTATGTTTAAGCTTTGTCTTGTAATATTTGTTAACAAATACAATAAACATTAATATGCTTGACACTGCATGATGCTGTAAATGGATAGAAGCAAAACAAATATAATAGATATAATCTGGTGGCGATTTACCACAACCCTTATTTGAATAGATGTTTTATTACAATTTAGATTTGTAACTGGCATTTTACTTGCTCGTTACTTATATAGAGTATTGATTTCTCATGATAATAATAATAATAATAATGAACGTTATTTATATAGCGCATATCACTCACACAAAGAAATCCCTATGGCTTAGAAATGAAGGAAAAGGGCGGATAGAAGAGAACATTTATGCCTGATACATGAAAATAATTAATTACAAACAACAATAATGAACACAATTCCTACTTAGCTTACATGTAATATATTGTAAATCAGGTAATACAAATTTAAACATGAAAAACATGAAAAAACATGAAAATTAAATTAAATATTAAATATGTACATGATACTATAACCAAAGAAGTCACTAAACAGCTGGAACAAATTAACAATTTACAAAAAGATGGGTCTCAACAGAGATTTAAATGATTCAGTTGTGCTTGCCTGTTTGACAGCATCAGGCAAGCTGTTCCACAATTCGGCCGAAGAATTCCTGAAGGAGCGAGTGCCATAATATTTTGTTTGAGTGCTTTGAGCTACTAGGAGGGATTTACTATTTGATCTTAAGTTTCTTGTAGGGGTATATTGTAGAATGAGATCTTGGAGTAAGACGGGGCTGTACGGTTTAGGCATTGATATGTCAGTAAAAGGATCTTATAATTAATACGGGACTTAACTGGCAGCCAGTGCAATTGTTTAAGTATGGGCGTTATATGTTCTATGCGTTTAGTTCTAGTGATTAGTCTGGCTGCTGAGTTTTGGATTCTTTGTAATTTATTGGTGTGAACATCAGGAAGAGAATAAAGTAAACTATGCAAAAATCTATGCTAGATATAACCAAGGCATGAACCAGCTGCTTAGTAGCTTCTTGGTTAGGAATTGGCGGATTTTTCCAATTTTGTGCAGAGCAAACGAACTGGTTTTACATATCCATCCAAAGTCCATGACATGTCATTGAAAAATTATCGTAAAACGGAACGCGAACTGCAGATATCTTGTCAATCCAAGGCACATGATACGATACACAATCCAAAATTCCAATGGTACATGTAGTTATAAAACATTGTTAGCCTAGATTGATTTCATGGAGCATGCGCAGTGATTTGATGATATCAAGGTAAAGATAGTTCAGGATGCTAGCTCCTTGAGACGAGGCCGAACCACATGGCCAAACCACCAAGATATCCAACCAACCACGTCATGACATCGCATATCAAACTTAAAGGCAAAATGTAAGTTACTTTCAACAGAACTGAATTCTCATTTGCCAAATAAAGTTATCTCTGATGCTACGAATTGAATTTAAATATTATTCAAAATCAAGATGGTTATTTCTACCACTGTTAAGACCAGAACAAGAAAGCGTTTGCGTATGACAGGCCTGATCGTTTGGACGGAACTAGCATGACTTTCCAGAGCGGATGACAATCCTGTCTTTCGTCTTACAATCAGCAACAGTGAACGATTCATTCACGACAAAAGAAAAACCGCAGTCTGTCTAGAACAGGATAGACCCACCGTCGTTTTTGGGCCAAGGTCTGCCTATTGGATCAACTGGCTATGGAACTGCTCTTAATATCATTCATTTATCTCAAGCATTGTATCATCGTGTACGAAAACCTTTTGTCTAGAAACCTTGAAACACTAAGTAAAATAGGTGGCTAATTGAGAGATCGAATCGTCCACAAACAGAAGGGTCTTCTATGTCTCGTACAGGAGGCCATTGACCAGCTGATCCCCCAATATGATGTTAGCCATGAAGATTGGTCCAACTTCAATTATTGTATACTCAATCAGTCTCTAGATGACTCTAGTTTGGAACTGAATCCGCTTTTTAATAGTCAGAGCTAGTTTGGGGGACAAATTGGCAACTCGTCGTAACCAGCTTCTATTAGGAATATAAAACTATTCATTTTCTTCGTTGATAAGCGCATTATTACTCCTATTATCTTTTTGTTTATGGGCAACTTTTTCATATAAAAAATTATGTGGACTTAAATAAGTGAACAGAAGCATGGAATGTACACATTCTTTAAGTTATCGTTTGGTGGAATCAACTTAACCCCGTTGATTTGTCACTTTACAGCATGCATTTTGTTATATGTAATTTTGAAACCATATTGGAAAAGAGGCTTCCCTTTTTCATGTAAACCTATTAGTCCTTTTTCCATTGATATAGACATAGCTCAAGCATGAAGGCCTTTAAGAGCATTGGCTCTCACGCTCTGTTTTTCATTACGACACATACTGGGTACATGAACAGATGCGTCCTGTTTTCAACAATAGCAATAATCACTTTATCACAAGTCGCAATTCAACACAGTTGACTTTTGTCAATATGGTTTACTATTTTTCTTATAATCAATGGCCTAATTGGAAATCAGTAGACGAAATAAAACAGTCGGCTACTGGGAGACCGCACATAATCGAATCATCACCCCTCTTACTCTGGCAGTTTGGGACTGGTGTTCGTCAGCTCCAAAATAATGGAGTATGGAATCGAAATAGATTATGATTCCAAGAGGAGCAACAGCGAAGATATTCAGTGTATCGACATGAAAGAATGTTGATCTACATTTGTAAAATTACATTCTCTATTTGTGAATTATTGGAGTATAAGTAAAAAAGCAACTAAATCAGGGTATTTTAAAGTCAATATTTGATTTATTATTTGCAGGAGAGACTATATATGAATGTTTGATTTGCTTGTTTCCTATAGAAAAGAAGCAAATAAATCAAAGTAATTTAATAGTAGACTCTCATACTTTAGAAGTTGGTTCCACCTTGTCACATAGGATTTGTAAAATAGTTTTGACAGGTTTGTCATGCAAGGAAGAGCAGAGATGATATGGGATGGGTTACATGGTGAAGTCACTGCCTATCCGTTCTTTCAAAAGCCAACAATATAATAGACTTTAAACATTTCATTGTACTGTATGAAACAAACAATAAAATTGGATGAGTAGAATTTGGTCATGATTGGAGAGAAAGATGATTGGACGTGTCACAGGAATCAAACCATTTTGATTTCGAAATGATACACGGATATTTCTTGGCTCTGAGCATCATAAAGTGTCACGACATATTATCAGACGGTGGCTTTTCATTTGATGGACTGATCAACAAGGACATCATCATAACATCATCCTTTTGCTATCAGCGGAAACCTATTGATTTGGAGAAAAAAAGTGGACTGAAAGTACTTTGATAGTCAGTTTGACGGTTATTAATGACTCAAAATATGCCAACATTGAAGAGGAAAACCCCTTCCTTCTTGCAGGAAAGAACAGGTATCCGTCACTGTTTCCTCTCTTCTCTTCATGATGATTAAATCATTGTAAAAAAGTACAAAAGAGTCACGCAAATAACCACCCCCGCTCACTTTCCAATGATCATGATCATATTTTTAAAATGTATGCCTATAGAGATGTGGGCATCAGGTAACATTAAATCACATATACTCAAGGGTAAGGGGATATACAAAGGGTAGAAGAGAAATGGAATGGGTTAAAGATATTACCCTCTTTCGATCTGGCCATGATGTCATAATCGGACAGCAGCCTAGATTCCAAACATGTCCTAACACCCTTGACTGAAAGTTACCCTTGACATTCATGTAACAAGCGAATGTTCTCCCTGGTATTTCTAAATGGGTCATTAGCGAAGAAAATGAAGGACGTGAGACCTCCCCCCTCCATCTACCTGAAATTGAATTCTGTCATCATAGTAATGTATCTCAGCCGGTAATCATCATGTGCATGGATCTATCGTCTAATAACAAGCGTCATGGGTCATCAAAAGTTTACATCCATACTTTTCAACTTCCTTAATATTTCCTCCACCAAAGTGAGATAATGTCAACTCCATAATTATGATGTTGATCTTTTCTAGAAGTTACTTGGCAATTAATATCACCAAAGGAACTTCTTATTAAAGACGTTACATTCTTATTATAGATTCAAAATACCATACTGAGTTGTTACTATAGTAACTGCGAGCTTCTGTTCGCAGACACGTTTGCTGTGTATTGATATTAAGTACAGTACCAGATAGACTATTGCAGATGACTCACAAATAATACTACTTTTTGAAAAGCAATTATGACAAATACCGAGGATAAAGACCAATGATGTATGAGTCAGATGATTTGAATTGGTGATCCCTATTTGCCCCGGTGACCTTTCATCCGGTCTATATGGTTATTAGCATGATTATGATATATTATAGGGTAGGGTTAGCTTTAGTGGTGTTCTAGAATTGATGTTTAGAGTTCGACTAGTAGATATATCAATCTCAATTATGTATATTATAAAGTATTACGAACTTTTTCCATAACAATACAATAATTTATACAGTAGGCTTGCGGATGCACCATGTGAGAAGAGGGAGGATTGAGGAATCCTGAAAAAGGACTCTCGGTAATCTTTCTTGAGGGTGTGTATTCCTGAAGCAAGCCTATTGTATATCTACATCCCATGCAAGCCGATACTTACAAGCAGCATCTAATACAATAATTGTTTAATATAATTAGTATTACATGATCTCATAAGAGGATGAACTATATATGTATTTGTTCTTTCCTGCAGGGTATCATAGAAGATGTGAAGTTTATCTTTGGTCAGCGAGGTACTCGTATTCTCCGTCTACAAGGATGTGATATCGAGGCCAGCTCCAGCCAATCGTCAAGCTCAGATATATCACCAGATTTCGGTGGACAAAGTCATGACAGTCAACTCTCACCGTTCGGTAAGTACAGTCTCATCCAATGCACATGCACCCACAAAACTGTAAAACCTGCATGAAATAGAGAACGAAGATTTTAAAAAGCGCATTAAAATAGGGCGGACACGGGATATTTGTTACAATTCTTCATTCTTCTCTCTTTTTATTTGAATAAAAACACAATTAAAATAGATTCGTACCTTGTAAATTATATCACCTGATATCATTACGCTTCTAATCTTTTGGAAAAGGATATTAGCCACTAAAACAAAAAAATGTATAGAAATAGGAGGACACCCATATCAAAATAAGGAGACGTCTGCATAAGTCATCAATCTCAGTTTGATATGCAATAGACCATGATTGACCCTACTCCAATCAAAGATACCCTCTGAATATGATTGCAACCACTTGTGCAAATCAGTCAACGTCATTCTGTTTTTGATGACATCATCTAAGAATCTTTTGAAAACTCTCTCTACTCGAGTGAGAAAAATAGAAAAGAAAACACAATGTTTGTAGGTGAGTGTTGATTTAAATCTTAGCTAGTCTCAAGTTCAACGCTTTAGTAGTAGTGTCTGTGTTCGGGATTTGTTTGGAGGTATTCTCAGTCAAGGTCATGGTTGTATTCTAACGACACCTTGTCTTTTATCGCCATCCTATTCCCACAGATAGGTCCTGCCCATCTATAAGGTTATCATAACCAAACACATCAAATTTTCCCAGTAGTATACGCTATATGCGATTCTACTTTTTGTACAGCATTATAATGACATTGAAGCAAGGTTTCCGACTATTTCGACCGTTTGTCATCCTAAAAAAAATCAATGTGATGGGAACTTTGTCGATGAAAATGAAAGCGGTGAGGATTGCGGAAATGTTTATGCAAGGTTGTTTTCACAGACTACATTGTAGCCCCATATCACATTTTAACACGGCTACCTCAACGATTCTTAAGCTGTATTGCTTGTTTTTTAACATTCAATTAAATGGCATATAGAAGAGAAATAATTTTTGATATCAAAGCCCATTCCCCAGTTCTCGTAATGACGGGAGTCACTCATGTATGACGTATTCAAAGGAATACATCTGATTTGGAGCCACACCCTAAGCCCTTACGCGATGGTCTTGTGGCGTGACAAATTGAAGGGAGGGGGGGGGGGGGGGGGGGGGGGGGTTAATACAAAATTCCAACACGCCATAAAATCAATACAAAAGGACATGATTAGATGGGTTACCCCCCCCCCCACTATGCATCTGTGCATTTACAGTTATATTGTAGCTTGGTTTTGTTTCCTCTTCTTGAAATTGAATTGAGCTACTGCATTGGGCATACCAGAGTAATTTATTTTAAAAATATCAATACTTAAAATTGTTGTAATCTTTCAAAAATTAATCTAAAATATTTATGATAGGGTAATGACGCATTTGATTCTCAAATGTTGCAGCTTCTCAGCACAATGTAATATTTTTTGTATATTTTATTTCCCGCTCGAATCGTGTTATGCTGAGCAGTAAACGGGTAGGGCCAGGTGTACAGCGAGACATAATTGGATCACACTGGGGACACTCCAAGTCTGTAATGTATTTTGCAGCAAACCTTACTGTTAAATTCTAGCCAGCTGTGACTTCTTCGAGGAGCCTACCAGATAAACTTTCCTCCTCCTCCTCCTTCTCCTCCTCTCCTATTGTTATTGTTGTTTGGTAGCAAACTCTTTCATTTTGTGTTGTTTCATTTTTGAGGGGGATATTTTGGAGTGAATGCACTTGCTGCGATCTATTCGAGCTTGATCAGCGGTCGGACTCACCTTTGACATACGTTCTTACACGGCCCTGAAAACACAGATGTTAGAGGAACAGGATCGGGAGTAGACAAAAGTCTTTTCGCTCACTCAGCCTATTTTCTCTGGATTCCCACACAGCGCAGCCGCAGACAGATAGAGACGAAGAACTTGTCTTCTTTCATATGAAAGGTCATCAAATATGGAAGTTGTGCTCCCTTAGGGCGTATCACAAAAACAAAAATAGTCAAATTGAGTTATTAGTTACTGAAATGAGTCTACCCAATTCTTCTACCATGCAGGCTGGATGGTGACATAGGCCCATGGAAGACAGAGAGCTTCGGGAAGTCAGAAATAGTTTAATATTTCCTGGCTATGATTGATCACATTTCTTTGATTTCCTCTCTATCTTCAATGTGACATACGTGATACTCCATTATTTACCTGTCTAATGCCCACTTATCTTATTTCCCGAGATCTTATCTCACACATGAAAACAAACGTTTTGTCATTTCATGAGTACATAAGATTGTGATGATGGCAAGAGATGTAATATGCGATAATGCCGATGACAGCTTAGGTATTAAATCAATTTCCCCTCTTTCAACAATGAACAATGTAAAAATTGTATTATCACGCGACTTGGCATTATATCTTTTTATACTGTTACGAAACTTTTAATTTCAACATTCATGTCTGTTTTATAAATACAAAAATGCATGATTTTCCATTTAGATTCAAAATATCAACCCAAAGTTACGAATGACGTATTTATTATGAAACGAGGCATAGCGTGGGGCCGTGTCACAACCCCTCCCACACGACATTAATATTGATAGTAATGATAGTTCTAGGAGGGAGAGAACGGGATCACGTGACCTTCAGGAGAAAGGTTGATCATGACACTTCACTTTGTGGAAAACGATGCTCAGGGTCTTGGCGTTACCTTGAAGACCAAGTATGGCATATCAGAAATACGTATAAACCCTCATAAATGATCATACATTTTACGATAGTTTGTTTAATAATTGCATTCAAGGATATGGCAAGAAAAATCACTTTTATTTTGTTGTTATTGTTTCAGA